TTTTCTTTTCTTTTCTTTTCTTTTCTTTTCATCAAAATCTCTCTGTTGTACTTGTTTCCTCCACTCTCCTTTATTTCACCTTTCACCAGTTGTGATCAAAATGAAAGTAAGGAGACACTGAGGAACCCAGTGTCACACAGGGAATCTCATTTTCACAGTTTTTACAGACTAGCCATTTGGACTCTAACGGTTCTGCCTCTTCTCCAAGACTTGTCTAATCAAGACCTGGGTTGGAGTCAGATATTTTCCATCCCATAATATTTGTACAGTTCTTTGTTTTTGACTCTTCCTCTTGTTCCCTATTGCAAGCAATTGTAACACGTGACAGAAAGTATCTCTTAAGACTGATACAATATATTATCTTCCGGACTTTCAGTGTATTGTGCTTGCTGCTCCATGTCTTGTTCCTCTAGTATTCCATTCTCAGCCATCTTGGGGCACCTTACGGTACCTTATAGAATGTGAGTCTTTGTTCACTCAGATAATTATTTTCACAAATCCAACTGCTTTAAGCAGACTGTATCACAGTCTGACAGGTAAATCCAATGACTCTGTGTTTTTTTATCCAGTTATTATCCAGTTGTTTGTGGGCACAGAACTGATAGGAGTAATTAAGATTGTAGCTAATGGGGAGCTGTTTTGTACAAGCTTTCTCTTTTGCGTAGTTGCTAGGCAGCCACTTGCAATACTATCTGTGTTTTACCAAACCTGGGCTCATTCTTGACGCTTCAAGGACTGATAAAGCCTTCAGTATACCAGTTTTTAGCCATTGCTTGCTTGCTTGCTTGACTGTGAACCAGGCTGTAATTAATGGCAGGGTAACTACTTAGAGTCTCTTAAATATATGCAAATCCACAGAAAAAAGAAACATTTCTTACTGGGTACACGTCTTTATTTGAAATTAATATGTACATTAGCAGCTTTTTCCTTTTCTCAGTGGCTTTCAGATATAAACCTACAATTGAGAGGAATTGAAATGGCAGAGAGTAAACTCTGCCTTATAGGTCATTTACTACGCAGTGCTACTGTAAATATAGGCAATGGGTATTGCAGATAATCTGCCTCTGTTAATGTATTTTTTTTTTATTTCTTAGTAAAACTGAACAATACTGAATCATTGAAGGTTTTAGTCCTCAGATTCTTAAATTTGTTGATAGCAATTTGTACCATGTTTTTAAAAAATGTATTTAAACAAGCAGCAGTAACTATCCAGGAAATAAGTACTTAAGTCTCACTAGAAAATCCTATTTGGTTATAAGGGACCCTTTGAAGGAGGAAGTAGATATGATTAATGTCTACTATCCCCCTTCCTTTCCATGAGAAACTGATTTAACAAACCAGACTTTTAGAAAGAAAGTGACATACTATCAGGAAATAGTTATTTGTTTGAAGAAGTTTAGAAGTTATCAATACTATTCTAGAAATGGAAACCTGGGAAGTCTTTTGTTTCCCTGGAATTATTATAAAATTATTCTTCATAGCCTTTACAGCTAAAACATCTATATTGGTAACTGTACTGACACAAAACAGTATTAATAATCTAAGGGGGTTCTTACGTAATGTATACCAGTATGTTTATGATACTCGCGCAAGCTTATTTAACGTTGGAGTTTTGATGAGAGGCAAACCTAGTTAGTACTCCATTTATTATTTTTTATTATCTACCAGTAAGCAAGAAGATAACTACATTCCAATGAATTTTTAATGCTGTCCTGCATTGCATTTTTTTCTCTTCCTGTGAATTATTTTCTTTAAACAATCATTTGAAACTCAGATTTAAAAAAAAAATAAAATGTTATAATTATATCCCTTTTAGTAAACTTGGCATTTATTTTATTGATGAGACACTAACTGAGCTCTATAACATTTTAAATAAACATTTATGCATACATGCACTTATTTAGTTTCTTATTTATTAGTAATAAATTATTAGTGTGGGGGTTTTTTGACTTTTTAGCTGACAGCCTTTTCTGAATGTAAACAGAAAACCAGTTTAATGCAGAAATATCTTGTATATTTATTTTTAGATTATATTTTTATATTTATTTTTAAATTCTATTGACCTCTATTTTAGATAGCTCGGAAAAATAGAGTTCCTCAAAATAATGTTTACATGAAAATATAACTGTTGTATTAAGCATTTCCTGTATCCTCTATAGTTAGCAACCTGGACAGATCAGATTTTAAAACCTCAGAGTAAGATTTGTGGATTAATTCATTTCAATTTGTTATTTACCCAGGAAATTTTCTGTGAAGCTGGAAGAGGAAAATTCAGTGTTCTACTTTTTCAATTCTTAATCCATATCTCATATTGGAAGTGATCAAAATATTATTTTAGCATTTACAGAAGATACTACAACTGTCAGAAATTCTAGATGTTTAGCCAGTGATTTCTACTTGTCCAACAGCTTGAATTATCTTATAACCCTCATAGCAGACAAATGCCCTTGCTCAGTATCTTTAGATATTTTATACATTAGAAATTTGGGCCTTTAATCCTCTGTTCTAATTTCCATATGATGTTACTTTAGAAAGAAGAATGGCAACCTGGATGTGACATTTGTAATACAACCTGTATGTCATACCTGTAGGACTCAAACAGTTAAGACAAGCTGGCACTTCTCCCACGTTCTATTCAAAAGTGCTAAAATGATTGCACTGAGGTACTACTGCTACTGCTTTAAAGGATTTATTATTGACTGACTGTGCTCTGGGTCATGCTGTGCTCTAACAGGAAAACAGTTTTTTAACAGTTCTAATAAGCAGCTGCCTATTAGGAACTGGATATTAAGCATGGCAGTAATTTCACTTAAACTGAAGAACGCAGTTCAAAAAATGTATGGTTTGTATTTTCTTTTCAAAATTTTTTGGTGCGATAATAAAAGATAAGCCTAACAATCATGAAAAAAAAGTGCGACATGTAGAAGTTTGTAATCGTCATCAGCATGGATTGAAAAACATCTGAATTTTGCCATTTGAAAGTTATTGAAAATATAGATCAAAATTTTTAATAGCTGCATATAATATTTTACTTTGTGAAGATAACAGCAAAATTATGACCACATCTCTTGGACATACTAGTCAGGTTTTAACAGTAGTACAGGGTTAGGTAAAGAAAACTGCTAATTCACACACCAATGCTGTTGTAATACATTGATATTTCACTCTAAGCTTCACCTACAGACCTTCTTTGCTTTTATTTTTACCATTAAAAAAGCTATTTTGGACATTTTTCCCAAGCAACAGGCAAGAATGATCTACAAATGAGTGCCATAGCAAAACTGGGTAGCGCAAACTCTTTATCAAAAGCATACCTGTCCAGCTCTTGCATTTTCACAGACAAAAGTATCATAGAATACAGCGAACTGTGGGGCATTGTCATTAACATCCAAAATTCTTACGTAGACAGGTACACGAGTGGTATCTTTGGGGTTGTCTGACAGGAGAAGAAAGAAGCAGAATGAGATTATTTTCCTACCAAGAGTTTTCTGTTTTCTTCCAAATATGATGAACAATAGACATGCAAGATTAGGTATGAAACTGGTCAAAATTTAGCGTACAAATTAATATCAGGTAAGAATCAGGCCTCCTGAAAAATAAGGACATTTTCTGCTTAGAGTAAAAAATAAAATAAAGTATTGGAAACTAGTGAGTAATTAAGGTTTTACATGAAAATAGAGTCTGCAACTCTTAATAATCTATGCAAATGTAGTATATGAAAAGCACGCCCATTACTATCATAACAAATTTGACTATTTGGTGGGCTCAAGAGTATTATTCTCCTGTAAGGTTTTGATTTTTAATTTTAAAATTATCTGTGATCTATTTTGTTTTACACAGAAAAGATATTATTGACTTTGTGTATACATATTCTGAAAGTTTTTCAAGCCTGACTTTCCTCTCTTGTGCCTTAATAAATAGGGAGAAATTCCAACAAAGCCAATGAAAGTATCCCCAAAAAAATCTGGTAAAGAATTTATTAGAGTCAGACTTTTTATGTTTTAATTATCTTAAAAAATATGAATGTAGATTTTCAGACCTTAGGTTATGAAACAAGAACAGTAACCTCCCCCTTGCCAAATGTCAAATCCCTAGTATTATTTAGAGTGCCCTCTCACTAGTATAGGCTAATTCAGGAATACAAGTGTCCCTGTTCCCACTTGCTGATCTAGCTGCCATGCAAAGGATCTGAAATAATGTCTGGGAATAAAGAAGTGCAGCCATTTCTTGGAATTCTGTTGTCTGGTAGCTGTATGACATACTATATGATTTTTCAACTTTGACGGAATAGGATAAGTAACAGCAGAGGTAATTCAAAATTACTGATTTTTTCCCCCTTTTAAGCTGCTTCAAATAAAACAGTAAACATTTAGGAGTGGCTGGTATTAAGTTCACTTGTTACTAGTAACACCTTTGCTAAAGATTGCAATGTGGATCTTTTTGATGTCCTGATTGGTTAAAATGGCAGGTTTAGGGCACTGCTTTTCATAGCCTTTTGCATTTTTCAACTAACTTTCCAAATGAGTTCTAGTCTTAACACTGCTGTCCCATTCTTTCATGCTTCACAGGTAATATTTTTAAAGGTTTAAAGACCTAAACCTAATCTCCCCCTTCACTTCTTTCTCCAAAACTAATGTACCTCTTTGGAGAATGCCAGATACTCCAGCTAGGTCCAGAATGTAAATTTGCTCAAAGTGTCCCGACAAGGAAATAACCTTACCACTGTGATATAAGCATACAAGGATACTAAATGTTTTCGTTATATAAATACTTCTGAATAGTATTCCTACAACACTGGACAGCACTGTGAAGGTTTGTAAGCTCAGGACCACACATCACAAGAAAAAAAAAAAAAAAAGGTTTAAAAGTACAGCTATCAGGTGTGCTCATAGCAACCAGCCTGTTGCTCTGGACTACAGAAATGGGAACAGGTACACTAAGAGTGGTTAATTGGCTGAACATGATGTTCCATTTTGTTCTCTGCAGTGTAGTCCTTGCCAGCCGTGCTTCTCTGCTGATCAGCAATTTTTTCTTTTTTTGACTGGTGCAGAATAAACCCTAAAAAATAGTGTCTTTGAAAGCAAGTGATCCTAGCTAGCTATTTCAAAGATCAGACTTCTGCCCCTTAGAACATTTTTTGTGGGGCAATTAGAGTTAATCTCAATAATGTAGCAGGTTTAGGAAGATCTCTGCTTTCTTTGTATTTTTAACACGAAAATATCTACAGAGAGCTGATTTATATAGTCCAGGAAATCCTACAGCTTAGGGATCAAATTGAACCTAACTTGTAAGATGTATTGATTTCAAGAGCTGTAGGTATAGATACCATAGGAGGAGATATTGAAATTATGTATAAGGAAATGCAGAAAACACTAAAGACAAAAACATAGATTGCCATCCTGAATTATGCTACTTTAACAGCAAAATCATGTCATTGTCTTCAAAGAAAATGAAGAAAACAGAATTACTTGAGTATTATTATTTAATCGGGTCACACTTCAGAAGTAACTTGGACATTATAAATGTCAGTGATGGAAGTAGGTAAGGAAAAAAGCAATGAGGAGATAGCTGCTGTTAGCTACCCCTAATTTACTTTCCCAGAATATCTAATAGAAAGAGGTAGGGAGGGAAGGAAGGTAGTTGTTTTCTCATGAAGTCACAGCTGTAACTTTACAGGCTCAGGAAATTTGAAAGGAAAAAGAGACCAAATTGGCTTACTGATCTCAGCCGCTATAACGCTAAGATTGTGCCATTGTGATATCTCACGGTCAAGTGGCTTAGAAGTATAGATGGACCCGTTTCCAGAATGAATATTAAATATCCTGTCAAGGTCAGTGTGACGATCCAGAGAGAATCTAAATATGATAAAGAAACAAAAAGTGTTGTCAAAATTATAAAAAAAAATGTAAGAAAGCATATATTTCACAACACATCAATATAGCTTTTAGGTTCTAAATGTTAAATAACAAAGGTTAGTTTTGATAAGACATATATTTAGTTTCTATAAACACTTATGAAAATTCTTAAAGTTAGTTCCGTAGAATGAGGAATAAAAATTGCAAGAATGTCATAAATATGATACAATAGTGTAAAATTGGATCATCTGAGCTTTTACAGGCATATATGAGAGTCATAAAAGATAAGTCAGAATTTCAATCTAATAATTAAAGAATTGTTTTAATCCCGAAAGGAAACTTGTCTTTGATGTACTGTTCCTTCAGACTGAGACTGACAGCTAATTTATGAGCTTTTCAAAAGTATTGTTATAAGCCTGGCTTCTGCACTTTAGGGTATATTCATTTACCAGGGATCAAGTTAAAAAAAAATCCCTATAAATATAAGTTCACATGCAGAACTTTCACTTTCATGAATATACTAATGGACCATAGAAGGACCTCTTATGTCCCTATAGTTGCTGTACTACTGCAGGCAAAACTTCTAACACAATACAGCAGAAAGTCAAACTAGAGTCGGAAAATTGCACTTTCTTCCATTTTTTTTCTAATATTTTTGTACTATAAAGAAAATTATCACACATATCTTTTATTTTTCTCTTAAAGAAACTAAATTTAGGTTCAATGGTCCCCTTCAATTTTTTAGAATTTTTTTTGCCCTTATTACTATTGGTTTGCTCCACCTGCCTTTGTTAAATTATGTTAAATTGTTAAACTATGTTAAATATATGAGAATATAATTTAATGTCAATGGGACATAGAAAAGACATATATATTAAGTTGCTATTCTGTGTAAATAATAGTGATGAGGGAAATACCCACCACAGTTCTTCAATTCATCAAGTTGTGTCAGAAACGAAATGAGCAAAAGTTCTGAGTTTGTTCTTTTTCCAGTCACAATTAAGAAAATATAACTAGTAAAATTGTCAGTTCTCTCATGCAATTAGAGTGGATAAAGATACAATGCTAAGTTATCTATATATCCTTAAATTTTAGAGGCTTGGTGTTATCATCTCCTATCTTTTTCATACACACGAATCACCATAGGAGAAAATTAGATTCAGTTTAATTTCCTAATCCAGTTTACCACCTGGGCCTCATTAAGAAGTATGTGGTAATTGACTTCAAAGTCAGTAAATAAGGTTCTTTTGCCAGAATGTAATTTTTGTACATTGTTTGGTATTTCAGACAACACACATCCAACTTGGACAGCATTGTCTTACTTGCTTGTTAAAAATTATGCATTATAGAAAAACAAACACACACCCCCCCCAATATAGTTTACTACATTCAGCTAGATGCAATGTAGCACGTAGCATCTAGTACTATACATAGAAAAGATTTTAAAGATATTAATCTTTCAGTGTCTAATATCTTGTGGTATTTAAGCACACACAAAGATAATTTTACTTTGTATAGCAATCATTCTGGAAAGCCTGCAAAGCTGGAGGCACCAAACAAAGTAGGTGCTTACTTTCCAGGACTGACAACTGGAAGCATTATAAGGTTCTTTCCCTTTCCTGGGCCATAGACTGGTTTGGCACACTTTTTCAGTGTGAATCAAGAAATAGTCTTGAAGACCCTACTTGAAATCGATGTGTAATTTTGTAAGTTTTATGAGATTTGAAGTACTAGAAAATATTTCCTGTGTCTCTTGTATGCAAGTGAATGGTTGTTCCCTGAGGTGTTCAGAAGCTTATGGATAGCAGTCTCAATTCTGTCTGTCCCTGGGACACTAATAAATAATAGAAAAAAACATTAGGATCTTCTTCCTGTGTACAACGTCTGCTTGAAAATTCATGTTGTATTACTGTTTCTCTTAATTTCTTTAGCAAATGATATGTTTACAGAGACTGGAGTATTACCTTATTGGACTTGAGGCTGAATCAGGATCCCGTGCCATTACTGTTCCTATTATTGTCCCCAATTCAATATCTTCATGTACTTCAAAAAGGTAAGAAGATCTGCTGAAGATGGGAGGTTCATCTACATCTTCTACAGAGATTTTCACAATAGTTGTATCTTTGAAAGGCCCAAGGTAATAGAAGCGTGGATCCACATGGGTATTCTCAGCTTCTACTTTCAAGGTATACAGTCGTCTCGTCTCATAGTCCAGTGGCTAAAAATGAAGACAATGATAAAGTTTATTAACTTAAATTACATATCAACAGTTGTGAACCTATATACATAATGGAAACTGAAGAGGACTCAAGCCTTATCAGATATTGCCGTGGGCTGGGGGAACCCCAATACAGTTCAAATTTTCTACATCCTAGGATCACATCCTCTAGTAAGAAGTTTCCATTGGTTTTAGACGTTTTTCTTCCTAAATATTATTTGAATTATTATCACACCAATGACAAAAAGATTTTCAGTGCAAAATTACCAATTAATTAGTGAATTTTGCAGCTGTTTCACAAGAATATGGATTTGGAACAACCATATAAGCATTTAGAATACTTGAAATACCAGCATTTCAGAACAAGGTACTTAGTATTAATATTTCTCAGGAAATACTATAAAGTCTTGAATAATCAAAATGGCCTGAGTATCCTTATTGTCAAACAAATGTAGCTGGCCTTAAATATCAGGAATGTTTTAGGTTTCTTTTAAGGAGGGTGTGTGTGTCAAAGTTCTTTATATCTAGAGAAACAGTAATAGCTTAATCTTGTTCCTTTTCATTTAATTTAATGAATCCACCATCAGAGATTTTTTTTGCAAAATAGATTTGACATTTTTGTCAGCAGTTCCTTTTTAAAATGGAATGAGGAAAGGTTCAGGGTTATAATTAGAAATTATTTTGGATAGAAAATAACCTCTATTCCTTCAATTTTTTCTAACTGTCATAGATGAAAAGTGTTAGCTAATTAATGATACTGAGGAAATGAGCAAGCTGAGAATTTACCTTTTTGACACAAAGAAGACTTCATTAACTCCCCCAAAATCTCAGGGAGATATCAAACTGGTGGTTTTCATTCATCAAAATGGGTGGTAGAAGACTTGTTTTTTCTGCCTAACTGCTTTTAAATACAAATTTGTGTTCATGAAAGATGCCAGAGTGACAGCCTAGAAATCTAAATATTCTATTTAAGAGCAGAACTATGCAGTCCAGTGCAAGAATGAGTTTCCCCACGGCCCAAAATTTGTTTTAAAAAAGTAGCTAGAGCAGAAGGCAGAATATCTACAAATATAATTGAGAAATGCAAGACAGTGCTGCTGTTTAAGCTAGATCTGAGACTATTGGTGTGTCTATAAAATGCAACATGCGGCTGTTAAGGGATGCTGGCTTCAAGCCTAGAACCAAAGAAGCCATGTTAGTTCTCCTTTATTCTAATTAGCTGGCTTAATTTGCCAGAGGGTGCACCGTGCAGAGGTAGTTAACTTGCTACTAGTACATTCATGTCCAGTTTGGACATCTCTTCAGGCTATACTACAAAATATGTATATAAAACATATAGATTATACAGGTATTCCAACATATCACCAATAATGAACAATACTGTTGCCCAAATATATGAAATTGTGGCAAAGCAATTATTTTTTCTGTGATAACTTGTATAGAAATACTTGTATAGAAAAAGTTTTTTTGCAACAGGTAGTAAATTCAGACGTCGTAACTTAAGGGCTCAGTAAAGGAACACCAGCTATTTGTAGTTATGCACCACTGAAAAGAAATGACAATCAACATGGCTAAATAATAATTTTTAAAAAGGCAATATTTTTTAAATTGGCAAACTGAGCATATCTTCTTCCTTGTTAAGTTAATGTTGTTGTCTGTGCTATCCAAATAAGCTACTTAGTTACCAATATGAGAAAGCATCCTGAAAACTGCAGAATGTGTCAGATTGCTAATGACAAAATGAGAAGATCTTGTTCATTAATATTTATCGGTGACATTTTTGGAACTGCTATGTTATAACTGATGAGGTTTTTATGCTTGATCCAGTTATTACACTGTTCTTTCAAGACTATATTGATTCAATTTAATAGCAGTCTGTGAAAAATCTGAAGCGAGCAAGAAAGGATCATCTCAAGAGAAGCCTTCACAAACTTCTAGGAAAAGGAAAAATATTAGGCCACAAACTTTGTATTTTCATTCCTTTCCAGGTAAACTACAATGCTGACTACAAGCATAGAAGGACATAGAAATTAAAGAGGAACACACTGATCTTTGCAGAACTTATCTTTTCCTTGGTTGACATTATCAAGAGATGTGAAGATATATTTTACAGCATTGCTTAATTCATTATTCTATGCTTAAGGAGATTTGTTTTAAAAGCTGATATAAACAGTGTTTTATGTTAGAAATGCTGCCTGCATTCTTTAGAAACATATCTCAAAATCCCAAAGAAAAGGACTGAGGGACTTCTGGAAGGGAAATTGTTGAGGAGCAGGAGAATGGAATTTCTAAGTGTGAGATCTTAAACCTCTGAAAGTGCTCTGAGATGCAAGACAGAGGGCAGAACTAAAGCTGGCTCTGAAACTGGGACACCATCACTGTTCACTGCTCATGTGTTAGCCCACTGACATGTTGGAAACAGGAACAAAACAAACAATATAGTTTGCGACTCATATGATCTAAGCACTTTTTTCCCAATGAACACTTGTAGCATAACATTGACACCAAAATCAGTTTGTAAATATTGCTAACAGACACCTTTCGCACAGTTATGATGCCTTCCTGTGTGTCCTTCTGTGTCACAATATCAAACATATCTGTCCCATCACCATCTATAATTCTGTACTCTACTTCTGCATTTTTTCCAGTGTCTGCATCTGTGGCTTTGATGCTGCCAATGGCTGTCCCAACTGGGGAGGACTCGGGAATGCGAAGGTGGATGGTACCTGTCAAAGAGACAAAGAGTCACTCAGGAGGTCCACAAGCCATTACATATGCATTAAGTAACATTATGTCACACATTAGCTGATTACACATTTTTGTGTATCTTTTACTCTAGAGAACTTGCAATTTAATACTGGGAGGATGGGAATAATGTAAGGCAGGGGAAAACTTTAGGTAGAAGATTGAAAACAAAATTGTAGAAAAAGAAAATAATAGAAAAATAGGATTAAAAATTACCTCTATTCTCCTATCTCAAAGAAGAATCAAATAAGTCTGTGCTTTTCTTGTCTATGTCATTCCCGAAACATCACCTGGAAAGACTGCTCTGTGTTCTTTTCAGGTTTCACTCTGCTTTTTTCCTCTTAATATCTGAAGTGAATATTTTGGGACACATTTTATATCTATTTTATCATGGAAGCAATATAAAGAACAGAATCCTCTGACTTCACTGGCCAATTCTAAGCAGCAGACTGACAGTTCAGCTTTCAAAATTAGTAGTCAGATACAATATTAAATAAATTTGAATGACTTGTTAATTCAGGGATAGGTTTTTGAAAATCCAAAAGCAGAAGGTGTGCCTATACTTGTTAAAGCAGTTAATTTGTACTTGAATAAGACTTATGAACATTGCAATTTTGGTTTTGTGATACTTTTCCTATCTCAGTTGTATCCCTTTATTGTGGTGTCATACAGCTGATAAAAACATTAGAAGAAAACTGTCATATTTCAGACATGCTGCAATAAATTGAAATAGATGTCTTACCATACATGTTAGTATTCTATGTCCTAGCCTTACTGTGAAAACTTTAAGGGTTGAGATTTCTGGTCCCATCTGTCGGAACATATGGTAGGAGAACATGTGGAACACACAGTGCACTGTGAAGAATTCTCAGTAAAAGATTTTAAAATGAATGCAGATACAGCTGTCATTCCAAAGATGGAAGTTAAGTCATCAAAGCTCTATTTAAAAACATTTTCTTCTCTGGCCTTAACTAAGTGTTCCAAGATTTGCTGTTTTACTTAGGGACTTCCTAATGTAAGTAAAGTGAGTTAGAAAGATAGTTCAGTTAACAGTAGCACAAAAGTGGAAGTGGCCACTCAATCTTATCATATCTTCAGGAAAGCACAGGTAAGTTGCCTGAGGATTATCAGTGTCTCTTAATAGACTATATTACAAGCCAGCTACAGAGTGAAAAAAGAACTGGGTTTGGTTTTGAGAACACTCACTGACTCTTAATAGACTATATTACAAGCCAGCTACAGAACTGGGTTTGGTTTTGAGAACACCCACTGAACACACACACACACACACACCCATTATTCATTGGAACATTTGAGATTTTCATTCTACAGAACTAGATTTTTTCTGTTCTGTTATGTTGTAGCTTGCCAAATGTAAAAAAAAAAAAAAGGCAAAAATTCAAAAAAATAAAAACAATCACATAATTTGTAATTAAATGTTGAACAAAAAATATTGACATTTAATATCTTCATATAAAGAAGAAATCTTACTTAGGTAGCTTTTGATATGAAACTGATATACAGCAACAGATTTAATACTTTGTGGCCATAGACACTCCACATTCTATTTATATGAATTTATTTTTACTCAGTTACATTTTTGGTATTTCAGATGAGTGGTTTATCTTGCATTAGCGCTGACATTTTCATTACCTTTCTCTAATACCTAAATCTGTGTACTTTGCTACATTAGTATATAATCTCTCTGTAATCGCCTAATGGTTAAAAAGCAAAAGAAAAAATAGCCTTTGCTCCCATTTAGTATTTATTCAGTACTGTGTGAGACTATGGTGAAAGAATACCTTTTTTCCCAATTAATATTTATATGTTATCATTAGTTTTATGGTGTGTCAACTATTCCCCACATTTTTTCTGGAGTGCTTAAAACTACATCCCCAAGCTATGCCTTGTGGACATTACTTTGACTCCCACTGCAATATCCAACTCATTAATTTACTCTACAAAGTGCTAAGAGCTCATATCTTGAATTGCTAATAAGGTAGTGGAAATAGAGAGGGAAAATAACCCAAAACTTATTATCAGAAAGACAATTTTATGTCTAACATATCCACTTATGGAAATCTCCACCATATTATGAGACACTTAATTTTATTATTTTTGTCACGCAAGACATTTAATGCATTGACCAAGTATGGGTTGCAGTGCAGCTTTAGACACTGTATCAGAACACTAACTACACCAAACTAGAATTATTTTTGCAAAACCCTGCTGTTAATCCTTTTTCTCTCACTTTTCTTCCTCAAGGAGAGTCATTTAGTGTTTGCATTTACTCCAGTGGGTGATGCTCCTTCATTGGTCTGTGAGGAATAAAAATGGGAAGATCAAGGAAAGTAAAAGCTTTTCCATACACAAAGGAAATCAGCTGGAAAATTAAAGTCCACACACTTGTGTCTGGAAATATTTCGCTCAGTCATAAAGAATGGAAAAGCAATCTTATTCATGTTTACCCTTCTCCCATTTACTCTTCAATAGGCACATAATGTACAGGTAAATATTTTTATAGAGTAATATATGCTGTAGTCTCGCAGGAGACATGGGCTACCATAACTCAGATGCACTGAGTTTCAGTCAGATTCAAGTTCCTAAGTCCATAAACCACTTTTTTTCCATTTATCATTGGTCAACATCTCCTTACTTCTGAGAACGTTTGGAAAGATTACAGATGAAACAAAGATCCAATATCTGAGGTCTCTGATGGCCTTTCTGTGCAGAACCTTGATAACATTTTCAGTTTCATCATGTTTCCTTGGAAGTACAGCCACTGCTACCTATATTGTTTTCAGGAGATTTTTAAGAAGAGAGAAATATTCTAAAGAGTCTTTGCTCTGTAATCTAAACAACAGAAGAATTAATGGCTCTTTTGTGGTTTTTTAGAAAGCATAATAAAATACAATATGTAAAATTTTACACAATTTAATATGAATTACTTGTGGGAGAAGTTTAATCTGTCATGAAATATTTTATTGAGATATGTAGCTGTAATATGCTACTGAGTCCTGTGGAAACATAATAGACCTTTTAATTTTTTTCCTGGTAATTTATAAATCTGATATGAATTATTGTCTCATTAATCTAATACACATCTGGTTTTTATTAATAGAACAGAATAAGAATAATTGAACTTAATCAGTATCAGTTCCAGTACTCACATTGAATTGTATTAAAATTGGAAAACATTATAATGTCTATTTGCATTTTGAAATTAAATATAAATATTTTTCTAAAGCCAATTGCTGGTTTTGCTTTCATATCTACTAAAATGAGTCAGCTTTATAAATGTTTTAGTTTTCATTTCTAGTGAAACATTTATATCTAGGAAAGCTATTGGCAGTAAGTAGAGAGAAGAACAAAACAAAACAAAACAACAAAAAAAAAACCCATGAGAGTAAGATGAAAAGTTTTTTTACAGCAAAAGTCACATCTGATTTATACTGATGTTAGTAGAAAAATGCATAGATATTTCTGGGATGTTACATCAGATCCTTATCTGACTCAAATATGATGTTGGACTGCCAGATAAGTAATGTAAAAATGCCCTAGAAAGTTGATTCTGTCATTCTAAGTATTAATTTAACACACTGCTTAAGAAACAAGAAAAAAAAGTATGCATAAATATGCATGTTTGTTGTTTATATGCTGTCATAAATGTAGCTGTTGAAATTAGCTTTTCTGTAAAGCTTTGAACATGACACCTCTTTGAATAGTCTTCCTCGATAAGTCCAGAGAGGAGTAATACAGTTTTCCTCACCTACACAGCACTGAAATTAACATAATCCTCTATATACAAATGGAAAGAAGAAAAATAATAAATAAAAAAGTTGTGGGAATCCAAAGAACATAAAATGACAAATTAACAATAAATTCCATCCAGAATAGGGCCTGTGTGGAAATGCACAAACTGTAAGTACTCAGTTGTTCATGATTTTTCTATTTTGGGTGTATAGATGAAATCACATGCTGATAAACATCTTAGCTAAACACATATATATATTAACTATGATATTAAATTGAACATAATTATGTACTCCATTTGTGCCATAAAAAGCATGTTAAAATCAGAATCATTTGAAGCTGAGTCTGTTATTTTGAGCCTGAAGGCTGATCCAGCAGTAACTACTGGATTCAGCAGAGTTATACAGAAGAAAAAATAAAAATGTGTGATAAGGATACTCTACATCCTTTAGCTATTAAGTATGTCCAAACCATGTTGCATGTATTAGAACTTCAGTATATGCAAAATGCTTCAAATGTATTTCAAATGCTTAACCTTTAACAATGTTGGTGTTACACAGTTTAATATTTCCATTTTACATGTAGACCAAGAATTTTTATATTTTCATTCAAGGATACAAAGTCTTGATAGCTGTACTATCAGAAGTTAAAAAGCATTATAAAAGGCTTTGGTAAACTTAAGCTGTAAAAAAAAAAGTTAAACGTAATTTACTTTACTTTGGGAAATTTTCTGTTAGGTTTTGTGGCAATTGTAACTGGAAAAGTACAAATCTGCTTGATTCCCTTCAAGTAATTTCTTTCCCATGTTCTTCATGATTAAATATTTAAGTAGATACTACTACTATTCAAACATTTCTGCATATGTAGAATGACTACATGTTCTATTTTCCAGTGGAGGAGTATGTAGGATTTAAGCAATAGGTAAGGGAAAAGAAAAACATTGCCCTAATGCTCTTATGAGTCCACCTACCACCCCCTCCCATAGTACTGGAAAGTATTCCAGGTTTGCTGCAGATATATTTGTCAATTCAACTGTTTTCCTAACAAACAAATGCTGTAACATTTAATATACAGCTTTAATAATAGTGAATAAATCAGTACATAAGCCTTTTGTTCATGTGCGCCCCATAATCTAGATTTACTCTAAATTAAACCAGATGGTGATTGCTCAACTCTTTAGTTTGAAGCTCTTACAGTGCAAGGCAACTATTAAATGCAGCTTACTTTGGGGGAATCGAGGTGGATTGTCGTTGACATCAGTCAAAGTGATGTTCACAGTCGTGGTCCCTGATAATCCACCCATCTGGCCTCCCATGTCCTTTGCTTGGATAACTACTTGGTACTGCTCCCTGTTCTCTCTGTTCATGTTTGGCAAAGCAGTCCTGATGATGCCTTAAATAAAGAAAAAAAACCACTGTTAATAATCTATTTTTAATGTGCAACAATCTGCTGCATCTTTTTTGTATTAGTCTGTGAAACATAATTCTGAAATATTAATTTTAAGTACAAATTTCTGTTCATAAATAGCCTTCAATACAAGCTACCTCTTTGTTAACAAACCTTAGTTCTACATCACAGCTTCCTTTCCAGTTTACATTTCATGCTAAAAATGATTCAAGATGTTTATGTTCATGTTCTTCAAGAAAGAACACCTTTTATTAGTCCAAGTAGAACCATTAAGAAAAAAAACCCAACAATTTCTAGGACAGAAACTTTTATTCTTGCCTTTTTCAGAAATGTTGCTTAGATCCTTTACCACTGTAAAGTTACTTATGTGTCATAGTGTCAGCTGTAATAACTCTCAGTTTTTATATTTGTTATAAGAATTATAAATTATGAGGAAAAAAACAAGAAATTATTTTATTTCAGTTATTGTTTAAAATTATTTTTTCAGGTGATCTAAGATTTTTTAAATTAAAGAAAAAGTATACAGTTTGTGATAAATGAAAATAATGACCATTTTCCTGACCTGTTTCTGGTTCCACAGAGAAATATGGCTGTCCCTGAAGTATGCTGTAAATTACTCTGGCACTGTTTCCATATGAAGGGTCATCGGCATCAGTAGCTGTGACTTGCACCACAGAAGTACCTGAAACACCCAAAGTCAACTTAGTTGATCATGTGTCAAGTTTTACGTGGTACTAGCAGAGGTCCAAGCACATCAATTTCCATTCGAGCAGACCCCAAAGAAAATTTCAGCTAATGTCTACTGGGCTTTTCAAATATATGATGTAATAGTCAACTTCAGATACATTCTTCCCTATTACAGGATCTTATTCTACACAAATTGAATCTAAACTTCCCTAATTCCACAGGCATGATTAAGATCTAATTAGCAAAGGTAAACAATAGCTATGGTTGAGCTGAATTTTTATCCTTACCCAGCTACAATTATTTCATACTTATGTACTCACTTCCTCTTTTGAGGAGACTTGTTTTTATTACAATAAATAACTGCTTTCCATTACTTAGAACAGATTTATTTTAATTTTTTTGTCCAATGATGTTAGCATGGTATGAAACTACACATGCAGGAACATGACAGAAAAGATGCTTAAATAGGTCACTGGAATTTGGGAAAAACTAATCATCAGTTCTTCCTACCTTGTAGGTGTTAATATATATAGATACTATCAGAAGAAATATTGCCACATGGACTGTTAAATCTGCTGATTATTTAGACTTCAGAAAATGTTTAATCTTAAAGACCATCTCTAAGTTTTAGTGGAATATACTAGCCCTTCAAAACATGAAATTCTTACCATTGCCTCTGCCATTTCTTGCTGAATCAAAACAGTTTCTACCTCCTGTTCAACTCTTCCACCAGAGATATAAAGTGTCAAGAAGTGTCTACCCTATTATACCTCCATAAAGTGCAGATATGATTTTAATTATATAGGAAAGAAGTGAAAAAAGCCAAGGAAAAGAAAATAAAACATCATATCCACTTGACTGGTTAGCCATGGGCTATTCTGAGGATCAGAAGACTTTCAAACATATTTCTCCTTTTATGCCAGTTCTTTCCCTTGACCAAATACTGCCATATATTGCAAAATAAAGTACGTGTAAATCCAAGACACTTGGCACAACTATTTATTCCCTCTCATAGTTTGACTACTTTACTTATTTATTCTAACATACACAGAAAGGCAAACAGAAGTAAATGCTAAGCTTTCAGATTTTGTTTGGGATTTCACAAGATGACAACAAATCTGCTTTTGACAAATGAATTGTTCAATCATGTGAACAATTGCACCAGTATCAATGGAATGAGCTTGTGCCTAACTGTTGAATCAGATGAGTTCTCCAAAATTTTCAGTTTTCAACTGTTTTGGAACAGAAACACTTGCTTTAGTGAGTCCCCAGAAGTACTTGCATTTCATAAAGAAGGCATAATAGGCAACTACCTGGCTATAATATTGCTGATATTAAAATGGAATGAGTCACTGATTTAACAGAATAAAGCCTCAAACACAAAATAAAATTTTAAAAGATAAAAAATTGCTACACAATGAAAAAATAAGATAGAAATTATGAATATTTTCCACTGTACTAATGGTTGCTTTAGTGATCATCTAGATTAAGGCTAAAACTGAAAATCTGAACATCTTTACAATATAAGAATGTATGATTGGTAGAGCTGTCCTAAACACTTCCTCTGTTTCCAGTTCACAAATATCTTGTATACCATCCACACTGAACTCCATTTGTAGATATATGTCTATATAACTATCCTGTTAGAAGATACAGAGGCCTTTTTGTTGAATATATTTAAGTTCTGAGGAGTATTGCCTTGATTCTGAAATGCACTTTTTGGACTATCCTAGTAGGTAGCAAACTGCAGTGCTAGAATGTATACTTGCTCTTAAAGAGTATTTGCTCTGAAATAGCAAAGAGGTGAAAGATAAGAACAAATCATGTTCAGTAACTTCAGTGCTATAAGTAAAAAAAAAAAAAAAAGCACCACCAAGTACACTGATCAGCGTGGCATTATCCAAGTACAGATTACAAATCCACCATTTTATATGCTTAAAAAGAGAACAGTCATCATCAAGACCTCTGTCACAACAGTACAATGTATTAATGAGAAAAATCTACATGAAAAACCCATGAAAGGTGATGTTTTGTCTCTATTACATGTAACTGAATTATTACTTCTTTCTAATTTTCACGTTTCCTTCATATGTTCAAACTATCAGTATTTATTAATAGGTCAATTGTATGAGATTTTTATTTAATTTTAGTTTAAAAAATCATGCAGAATAACTTTGAAGGATAATTTGGAAGAAAACTGAAGAACATGTTTAATTGTTTTAAAATAAATTTTTAAAATTTCCATTTACAATGTAATAATATGTGTCTAATAGTTACTGCTGCCTCAGGTTTGAGTGTCATAATGTGCATATAATATATTAATGCTACTTTAACACACATACACATGAAATAGAACAAATCATATCAGCTATCCTTCGCTCTAGCTGCAATGAACATGGTGTGAGGGCATGGCTATACTTCTGCCTGACCTTGAGGATGCAGAAGTCATCACTTTGATCTTGGCTCTTGCTCATAAGAGGAAGAGAGACATGGTCTCTAAGCTTCCACCAAGGGATCAGTGATTCCTATGAATAACCTGATAGAAACTATGCAAAGAAGCAAACAGCAGTATATCAGTATTATCAGTTATGTGGTGCACATCAGCTGTCAAACTATCAGCTTGTTTTGCTTTGCTGCTGTTCACTGAAGTCACTGATGATGACTATTGGTCAACACTATAAATATATTGTTTGTTCTGGTCTGAAACCTGGACAAGAAATCCCAGGGCACTAAAGATGATCAGTTGTGCTGAGATTTAAAAACTATAGTGTGACTTAGGCAACATTACTTGGTCCAGGCCTCACTCTGTGTTTTACATAGGCATAGATTGCTTCTGATGAGGTTGGTAAGAGGATCTGAAGTCTAATCTGGCCTTCAGGATCTAAAGTCTAATCTGAACTCTATAGGAGGGCATAAAGGAGACAGTCATAATATACTGGAGAATATGGCACCAGCTACGTTATTAATAAGGCATATAAATTCTGTGATTTTCTCCTTGGATACTTGCAAATTTTATTATATGATAAACCGGAATTATACAGTGATGAGATAGTCCCAGAAATAAACTGACATTTTTCAGATTATTGTAGTTCTCAGAAGGCATATTTTAACATAATTTTAATTATAATGTTTGAATCTCCCTAGGGTATGGTACTATAATTGCAATTAATATATTTGGCCCTTTTTAATGTATTCCTTGCAAGCATTTTCAAACACCATACAATTATTAATGACTTTGACCTCACAATGCATTTATGATGTAGATGTATTAGATAAGAATCACTGAAGAGAATTAGCTAGAAAAAACAATCCACATAATATCCATTGTAGAGCTGAATTTGAAACTTATATTTCCTTACTCCCAACTGAGTTATGTGATATTTAACTTCAGCAAGTACCCTCCTTAGTAAATTATCCATACAAATAGCAAGTTGAATTAATAGAAATTTTCTGCTTTTTCTAGCAGAAAAGGGAGAAAATAATGACACATTCTCCCCTGAAACAAACTATTTAATGAAGCAGAATAATAAAGAAGTGGAAAGGGCTGCATATTCAGAGAAGTTGATGTTAGAAAGGTCTTTGGCTACATGGTACTTCTGTAACTTGGAAAACAGTAATCTGGAAACAAGCACCTCAGTGAATATTTCCAATTCTTTTATGAGGTCCCTTTTGAAGAAAAAAGTTTAATCTTGGGGCTTTTTTGGTTTGGTTTGGTTTTTTCCCTTTTTTGACCCCACTCCTTATGGCAGGATTTGTGTGCAGAGTAAAACTGGAGTTTATAAAACATCTAAAAATGTAATATAATAATTTCAGTTTTCAAAATCTGTCATTATTGAAATTATTGAATTATAAGTCAGAAGATGGAAAAGAGTTTGGTGAGAGAACTATAGAAAAACGATTAAAGAAAAATCTTTGTTAATATCAAACAAGAAGGATATGAGCCCTGGGGAACCCCACTGGTGACTGGCCATCATCCCGAGGGTTTACTATAACCCTTTGAGCCCGAACCATCAGCCAATTTCTCACCCAATGTATTATGGACTTGTCTAGGTGTGTGCTGGACATTTTGTCCAGAAGTATACTGTGAGAGACAGTATCAAAAGCTTTACTAAAATAAATAAAGAAAAAAAACCCCAACAAACAACCCACATCTACTGGCTTCCCTTGGTCAACTAGATGGGTGACCTTGTCATAGAAGGAAATTAAGTTGGTTAAGCAGGACTTTCCCCTCCTGAACCTGTGCTGTCTATGGTCAATGACTGCATTGTCTCTCAAGTGTTTTTCAGTAACAACCAGAATAACCTTCTGCATAATATTACCAGGCAGTGAAGTGACAGAGAGGCCTGTAATTACCAGGGTCTTGCCTCTTAACCTTCTTAAAAATGGGGAGAACATTTGCAAGCTTCCAGTCAACTGGGACCTTTCCAGACTCCTAAGACCATTGCAGAATAAGGGAGAGAGGTCCCGGAGTGACACTGGCCAGCTCTTTTAGTACCCTGGGGTGAAGCCCATTGGACACCCTAGATTTATGCATATCCAGCTGGAGCAGCACATCTTGACCAAGTTCAGATTCAGCTGGGAGTTAATGGCCCGCCCAAGTCACGGTCTTCCAATACAGGGCTCTGAGGGTCCCAGGGCCCATCATCAGTGTGAAAACAGAGGCAAAGAAGGTATTAAACATCTCTGCTTTGTCTACGTCCCAATTTGTGAGGTGACCAACCTCATTAAGTAACAGACCAATGTTATCTCTGATCCTCCTTTTGTTGTTAACATATTTTAAAAAGCTCTTTTTGTTGTCCTTCACAGTACTGGCCTGCTTGAACCGTATTTGAGCTTTGGCCACATCAATTTTCTCCCTACGGTGGTGAACAGCGTCTCTCTAGTGCTCTTGTGCTCCTATTTTTCCTCTCATTGTTTCCAATGTCTGTACACTTTCCTTTTCGACCTAAGTTCTAGTAGAAGATCCCTGCTGATCCAAGCCAACATTTTGTCCTGCTTGTTTGACTTTTGACACTTTGGTATCGGCTGCCTCTGTGCTCTTAAGAGATGGCTCTTAAACAGTGACCGTCATTCATGGACCCCAATACCTTCAAAAGCAGATTCCCAGGGGACCTTACTGACTAGCTCCTTCAGCTGCCTGAAGTCTGCTCTCCCCATATCCAGGGCTGAAGTTTTACTGGCAGTTTTTCTCCTACCACCAATGATCAGAAACTCAGCTACTTCCTGGTCACTGTTACCAGGGCAGCCATCAACCACCAGTTTGCCCATGAGTCCCCCTCTGTTTACAAACACCGTCTTTAATCCAGGCCCCAGGGAGGCAGCAGACTTCCCTAAGAAGTGGGTACAGACTGTACATTGGGCATTCTGTTCCCTTCAGAAGAGAGTCTCCTATGACAATGACCCATCTTTTTTCCTTTATGGAAGCAGTTTTGACACAGTGCATAGGCTGCCTTAGCCTCAGCGACACCTCCAAACTAGATGAACCATCGTCATTGTTCGGTACCTCTTGCAGAGCCTCATACCTGTAATGCAAGGGCACCTAGGAAGTTGGGGTAGTCATGAAGGAGACACATCTGCTGCACCAAGCAGGAACTTGTCACCATTCCCCCCTATCCCATAAGTCACTGCATTCTGCCGGGTGAAGAGAGGACAGGGAATCCTCTGTGTCATGAGTCCTATCTGCCTGACAGGTCTGTCCCAGGGAAGGTATGGTGTGGTTCCAGTAATCTGTCTCTCTCTCAGACTACCAATATAGTGCATACCATACTATGTTGACTATGCTGGATTAGATAGTGAAAATATTACAGCCCTGGTAGCATAGTACTTTTTACAGACCATATAACTCCTATCTACTTGCCCAGGGGAGAGCCACACCACAGTAATTTGGTTTTGTAATTTCTTTCTGGTACCTATGCATGAGGGAATATTCATATCCTAAACTCTGCTTAATGTTTTCAGACACTTATAGAAAGGTTATATGTTTCTACATGCTCACAGAGGTAAGTACCACAGAAGGAGACAGATTCAACGCAACAGTACAATTACATCCAAGACTGCAATTTCTCTCTGCATTCCTTACATCAGCAAGTCTGACACTTTTTTAGCTCATGGCCAACAGTACTGGGCAAGTAACAGGCTACTTGCAATACTATAACTCAAAAAAAAAAAAAATCTGGAGAGAGAAAAATAGAACTATGCAGACACTTCTTCCTATTTTCCTTTTGATAGGGAGGTGGTGTTCTTATAAGAAAAACATTTTTTTATGTTTCTTTTTTCATAAATTTCTTGTGTAAGTTTCTGTGCTAAAAATGCTTGAACTGTATGATGTCTGAAAAGAAAATATACTGATTTGAAAATATATTTTAATTAATTATGTGATATAATATTTAATTGTTATACAAACATATGATGATTTTTTAAGATACTAACTTTAAAATTTCTAGTTAATTTTATTTGCCTCAGAGGCTTTATGCATCTTGTTCTTTTAGAACGTTTCTCCCCTTCTTCATTCAGCCTTTAGTTTTGAGATTGCAAAGGAAATTTATTTAAATTGGAAAATTAAATTAATGCTATGAAGAAATGAATCAACTTTGAGGAATACGTTATAAAATCACGCCATGCACCCATGGACTGCAGATGAATATATTGCCTCTAGGGATCATCCATAAAGCCAAAAGCCATAAAGATAAAAGCAAATTCTATCTACCAGGTAGTCAGCGGTCTAGCAGCTGAATGGCCACATTTGTAAAATCCAGGAACATGGTAGATTTTAACCTACTTGCTATTCTCTAAATTATTGTCATGTTATTGGCAGAATAAAGTCTATTTGTTTCAGCACAACTATTTGTGCAAGATAGGGGGTTAACACTCTAAATACATCCAAGCTTTTTCGGGTTTTTACCCATCAGTGGAGTTTTTTAATACTTTTCTTATCATCTTATCTCTTTTCTTATAATGTTTTTATTTTGTTGCAGTGCAGCAAAATTTGCACCTTCAAAATTTGTATGATCTATATGGACTTATAAATACACTGGAAGCTCACATCCTGAATATTTTTGAATCATTGAAATAATGTCTTGGAAGTTTGTGAACACTTAAGAAAAATATGATCTTTATGTAATTGAGACTGACAAAATTAGGCATCAATAGATTATAGCTGAATGTTATATAATAGCATAGTATTTGATGAAAACACTGAATAATTTTCATAAAATCTTTCCAAAAATATTTTAAGCAATGCCTTCTGGAATTTATAGAAAGAACATGAAGCGGAAGCTCTAAAATGTCTTTTTTTTCAACCCTATTGTAATCTTGTCATCTCTCTCTCTAGAAGATATATATACACCAATGCCCTTCAAGATGATATGCCCAAAGCTATATACATTTACTGAAATGCATGGTTCTAGAGAACTGATCAGTAAATTAATAAATCAGTATTACATTTTGTTCTACTTCAGAACAGTAAAGAAATAAGTCTTTTCAGTTCTCCTCTTCATGTGGACTAGTTCAATGGGATTTCAGTACAGCCCTGTGCAATCATCTGCCAGACTTCTTCCACTTTCTTTTTTTTATTTTCCTTTGTACAAAAACTGCTTGCTGAATGGTGGGACTTTTAAAAATGATTCAATCACAAACTAAAAGCAGATTGAATTATCTCATTAAGAATAGAAAATTATTAGTGTTATGCTTCCACACATTGCTGCACAGCTTTGCTGAGGCCATTCTCTTTCAGTAGTTATATATTTTCTTGCTCTTTTAACATTTTCAAAAGCCCAGGAAATTAAGTACTGAAACTTCAATACCTGTATATATAAAACATCTCAAAACACTGTTTGATCTAGTTCAGGCAGTGATAGTAATTAAAATAGTAATAATAGCCAAAAAGAGGTACTGAAGTTATCGTGTGTTTTCTGAATATTTAGAAATTAGTACTATATCTACAGTTATACAATGAATAAGTGAATATTAATTTTTAAAAAGGGACTCTATATTTCTAAGTTTTCAAAATTCTTCCTAAAGAATTGTATGTACTAATTAATAATAGTTCATATTCAAAAATGCTATTGTTTATGAAACTGACCAGCCGGCATGATCTAGGCCATAACTTTGTAGTTAAGATAAGAACTGAAAATACATTGCAAACAGAAGAAAGATTAACTCGAACAGCTGTTTTAGATTCTTGAAGCTGCCATTCATGAGTGAGTTAAAGTAGGAAGTGAAAACACAAGAGGATTTGTCCTTACACTAAAAAACTGAAAGTAAAAAGAATAAAGAGGGTGTCTAACTTCAGGCAGTGCAACAACAGCACATGAGTAAACAAACAACTCTGCTCAGACACAGAAAGAGTGAAGTAGAGACAGCACTCCATTCAGTCATTATCACCACTGGGGATTACCAGGAAAAATTCATCGAGCTTTCAACAGGCTAATTTAGTGATCCTATTCTGACAGTTCTTAAGGAGAAGGGTGATTCACCATAAACTAGTTTCTATTTATATTTATATTCCAAATATCTGTAAATTAATATTTTGAGTATTCTAAGTAACAATAGGTCTCAAATCACAAAAATCTGTTTCTGGTTACAATTCCAATACTTGAACAAAAAGAAAAAGAAAAATACTTAACCCATGAGGCAGAATTCTGAACATGACTGACTTTTCAGAGGATGGGGAAATTATTTGTCAAGTAACATAGAGCAGACATTTGAGCCTCAGTACAAAGCACTCACCCACTACTGACATTTCAGGAACACTAGCAGTGTAAATTTCTTCTGGAAACGTTGGTTCATTGTCATTGATGTCATGGATTTTGATGACAAACTCAGATTCAGGTTCCACTGGTCTCAGAGTTCTTCTATTAATAGCTTGGGCACGCAGGGTGTAAAAGGCTTTCTCTTCTCTGTCAATTCTCCGAGTAGCATGAATGTCACCTGTTTTCTCATCAATTATAAAAAGAGTACCAGCCCCATCTCCTGACAAAATGTATTTGAGGGATCCATCTCCCTTGTCCTGGTCAGAATGAAGCTGAAAAGGAAGAAAAATAAGAGCATTTTGTTTAGAAGTAATGAAAAGGCTGTTTTACTTTTTTAAATAATTGTTTTATATTAAATAATCTTGCGTGCAACAAACATGTTTAATACCAACAAAACAAAGTAATTTTCAGTTGCCGTTGACTGGCATTTGTAGTGACATACTGAGGCAGTTGTTTCCTATCTTAGCTCCAAGAATCTTTTAACTTGACTGTTGTGGAAGATTTTAGTTTTGCAGCAACACCTGGTCTCTGTTAAAAAACCTTTGCACCACAATTCTTAAAGAAAATTTTTATGCTAATACTGACCTTTTCCTTCCTTGAAGAGATCCTATTAAAAATTCACAACCTTCTGTGTTAGCTGTAAATTCACTAAGCAGATAAAGAACATGACAGAATACATGACAATTAAGGAAAATAGAACAACTGGTTCTATGTAATCCTATTTTGTTTTTAAATTTTATTTCATATTATTTCTATTTCTCCTAAATTGGAGAAAATTTCATTTTAAGTCTTTTCACTCCATCAACTAATGTAAATAATCTAAAGAAATAAATTGAAGTACTCAGTATTGATTTAATATGCATTATGTAAATAATATCAAGCTTAACTTCATCTATTAATGACCTGTATTAGTGACTGACTTTAGTACATCCATAACAAAAAAAAAATTGTTTAGTTATGTTGCTTTGTTCAGTACAGTAATGTGGTTGGCTCATTTGATCTTTTGGATACACTTACCATAATTTCTCCCATCAGCTTGTTAGAAAGTTCCTTCCAATCTCATTGATTTCATAATTAACTGAAAGAATTTGGCATTCAGTTTTATTTTCACTCTGCTTACAAAAATGAAGTGCAAATATAAAGACTTTCTAAAAATCACATTCAAAAAATACCAGAATGTTCCAGAGAGTTTAATACAGAACCAGTGCATTTTTTTCCTTTCCAAAAATAGTTATTTGAACACACATTAACAACATCAGTTAGAACTTCAGTAATATTGTGTTTAGTCATGTGAAGGGTTTTTTGTTAATTTAAGGTCACATTTCATATAATGAAAAACATTATACACATAGCTTATCCTTGGCATGCAGTCATGGAAATATTTCTCTTTTTTGTCTATGGTACCCTCATATTGTCTTCCATAGTATCCATTTTAAGTCAGTATCAGAGATAGAATATTCAACTATTAGGGCTGAATGTAGCTTTCCTTGCTTTTTGTGCTGAAACCAAGCTTTGCTTACATTAAATATGTGTATATTTACTTTACAAAATACACATTTTCTTACTACTTTCTTTATATGATTTTATAATAACTAAAGAAACAGGAAGCTCCGCCAAACATGCAGAGTAGGAAGGTAGATGTTAAAAGAAATCTTTAGCAAATAAATCTTGTTCTTTCTTTTCCTTCCATTTCTCTTGCTGACTTCAGACTGAAGGTTTCAAGTCACTCTCACTCCCCTTTTGGGGAATGAATTTTTACTGTGAATTTTAATCCCTCATGCTTCTCTCTTGATGGCCCATTAAAGTTGTGGGGAGTCTTTCACCCGTCTAAGTAACATTCTTTCTAGGGGACTGGACAGTATCTTTCAGGCTGTGGCCCCTTTTATAATGTCATTCAGCGAAACTAGACCTCAGAAACCTTTTAAGTGTTTTCTTCTCTGGGTCTTCCTAGGATACCACCTTATCTTCAAGAGCTCACCAGTGGTCCATTACCACTAGATACAATATTTTCACAGCAGAGTGTTGAAGAGCAGTTATAGGAATCTGCTATGCCTTAGACACATGCACCAGAAATACAAAATAAAGTCCTATTTGAGCAAGAAAGATTTTTTTTGGGAAAAAAAAAAAAGAGAATCTTTAAATGGGCACATTGCAATTGTCCCGTATATTTTCCAAAGTCAGATCTATTACAAATTCTTTTAAAAGTTGATGATAGTACATTGAGGCTGCAATGCCTGTTCTTTAACTCAGAAATCAGTTAGCAGAGTCTGGCAAAATTCTTTATAATAAATTATATATCTCCAGAATAGCATAACCTCATGCAAACTGTTCCCAGGAATAGTATCTGGCAAGATTTAACTCACAAATCATGCATGGAAATTGTTTTGGAAAATGATATTTAGCAAAAGCATGCCAGGAACTTGTAAAATAATTTAGCAATCCAAATAACCGCATTCTGGTGCTTGAGAATGTTGCCTGGCACTAGAAGCACAAACACAGTGTAGTGAACAGAACTAAATCAGAAAATGAAGAAACCCCCTACACTACAAACTATGAAGCTTTTGAACAACTATACTTAGATCCAATTCAGGATGTAAAGATCTTTTAACGTACTTATTTGTCTAATATGTAAGGTACTATCAATGTTAATTGTTTTCCATTCTTTCTCCTGTAACTATGCGTGTGTCAAAATTTCTTACTAAGCTGATTTGGAAGTGAAAAATATTCTTTTTACACTGCTCACAAAACCATTGACCTCTTACCTCTGCCAAATTCAAACTTTATAGGTTTTTTTCCCACCTGTATTAGCGAAAAGATTGGAAAGAGAGCTGAGTATAAGATTTTGAGACATTCATATAAAGGCTTTTAGGGAGCTGATAGGTGCACTTCAGAGCAACATATTTATAAGGAACACCAGCCTGCATAGTTTAAATAACACTTTAAGCTATAACATTTTGCATTTTCTAAAAAAAAATTAATAATTTCACTTAGGATTGGTAATCCAATTTGAATTTTATGTATACACATAATAGTCCACAGTTATTAGAGAAAAATTTTAAATTCAGAATGACATTTCAGAAGGTCGTCTTGGTTGATCAGGAAACACAAAGCTGTAGAAACAATGAACAAGGCTTCCAGACATAATTAAAAGAGTGAAATTGTGTTTTATGTATAAGCAAGGAAAGAGAATACCTCTCATTTTGTGTTCTTAGCTCTTAATTCAATACAGATTTTATGAGAGGAATCAAGATGGCTAAAGATCAACCCTATGTGCTTGACAGCCTTGAACACTGAATCTTTACCCAGCTCTGAAATATGTGAGCAATGTGTCACTCAGCCCTGCAAAGTTTTGACATTTTACTCTAGTATTAAAAAAAGTTCTGTGAAATATTTCTCTACTACTTTTAGTATAAAGTGTTTCCTATATTGATTTTGGCTAATCGGTATCTGTGATTCATGTCAGCCAATCTGAGAAATAGAGAGACATCTGTTTCATTTAGCAACTTTATTTCACAAAATGATCAGCTGTGAAGATGTGGTTTTGTTTTCATATCTGTCACCAATATTTTGCAAACTCTTGTTTCAGTGAATTTCTTGCTTTTCTTCCACAGAAATACTTCCCTTTTCAGCTGTCAGTGTATACATACTTTATATACGTTTTTTATCACTGTATAGAAAATCAGAGTGTCTGTTGGTTTTATTTCATATAGCGCTATTTCGCTATACAGTAACTGCACTTACTGTGAAAGACAATTGTGCATATTTGGTCATCTATCTAAACTGGTTGAATGAACTTTGAAAGTGAGAAGCATTTCATATAAATGAAAAAGGAAGGTACTGCTGAACAGAAGCAATTAATTCTAAATTAATATTTAGAAACGGTAACAAAATGGAGTGTTATGTGAACACTTAAAGAAGAAACTGAGTTACCAATCCAAGGCAGAGAGAAAAACAGGTTTTAAAAGATGGAGTGTTTTTCCTTAGTTTACAATAAAACCAGAATTAATTAAATATAGTACCTACTTCTTCAATGTAAATGCAACCATAAATAGAATGAGTTAATGAATAAAATTCAACTCAATATCTGTTTAGATCTATTAAAGATCTTTGTAAAACATCTTTTCAGAAGACTTTAGATGAACAACATAATTCTGCTTTAAAAATTACTTGAAAATTACAGCGTGGGAATTCTATGTTAACTGACTTCCAATGATTCAATTATTCAAATCAAACCTGCCAATTACAGGGATGTGGATATTCTTTTTTTGGATTTTTTGCCTGTCTTTTCCCCTCCCCCTGTGAATTCCACTCAAGTCTGAAATCTCCTAATTGAATATAAAGGTTGTGGACCTTTTTCTAATAGCATACAAAATGTTAATGCTATTTTTACCAAAAAGCCAGAAGATTCTACCGTGAAAAACAGAAGAGATTAGGTTAGTCAGGCCCATGTTATCATACAAACTACTTCTGGAATTTGAAATGATTTATGACAATGCCAGATAAAGACTTTAAGAATTGTCACACCTATTTCCATTTGAATTTCAGATTAAGGAGTCCCTTTATGAATTTTCAGTGATTGGTATTCAGATAACTAGATACCAGAATATGACTGTTAATACAATACAAACCAGCCTTTTGTTTGAATTCTTACTGTAGGCATTAATACAGTTCAAGTTGGGTTTTTATCGTAATTTAATATGGTATGATATATAGGACACTTTCCAATACAGTTTACAGTTTTTTGTAGTCTTTACAAAATGACAGACTATTCCAATTATTACCTCACTAAACACATTTTTACTCTCCTACTTTATAATAGACATTTTTATTTGTATAGTCTAGAAAATGTTTTTTCTACTTTTTCTGCAATATATTTGTCAACATTTCAATTTAATCCAAGTATTGCATTAACAATGAGACCTCAGTACACTCCTGAATTACTTTATCTTTTAGGTTTTGTCCAGGGCAAACTGTAACCTATTAGCACTTTTCCATGTAATCATGTTAGCCATGTGATGCTAAAACACACCAGTTGAAGCATTCACAATTTCACTCTAAGTTTTCTACAGCATATATTATAATATTAGCACCTTCACTGGATACTTTGTAGAATGATAATGATAGTCTGTCTAAACATAATCACGACAGTGGGCAGATTTTATCTGAAATCACCAGAGAATAATCAATATAGAATTCCCATGATGGAGATATTTATTTTAAGCATCATGAACTGGACTGCTAAATGATGCAGTTGTTTTACATTAGCTGCACT